CCATCGCTAGTAGGTTGGAGGCCATCGCTAGTAGGTTGGAGGCCATCACTAGTAGGTCGGAGGCCATCACTAGTAGGTTGGGGGCTAGTAGGATTTTTCTTAAGGATTCATCAGATTTCATTGTGATCAAATGGGTCTTGAAGTCCAAACCACAAGAGGGGAACGAATGCGGTATCCATGACAGTGACGCTGGTTTTGAATCATTTATGGAAGGACATGGAGTCTGGATCCATTGGGGGTGAATTAGCGCGATCAGGACGGCTATCGTGTGCTTACTTTATGACTTGACTGAACCAAACAGCATGACTCATCCACGTCTTCCTATAATAGAGTGCACTCTGAATACAATTTGCATTGCTATTTTCACTGTTCATCGCTTTTCGTAGAGCCTGTTGGCCAGGTCCACGATTCAATCGTCAATCACAGCATTGCTCCTCTGCTCTTTCGAGCTGATCATGGCCCACGCTTTTCCTGAGCCTCCCAGCATTCGAACCCCTCGGAAGCCCTGGCGCAAACGAGCTGATGGATCCAACGGTTCCCTAGCTGTGTCCAAGAATACCAATCTAAAAGAAATATCAGACGCATTAGAGAGAGACCACCCATGGTTACCTTAGCTTCAAACAGCCATGGACCTGGAACAAGAACGCCGAAGACAGAACATCTATTTCCGGACCTGGACTTGTTCGATTTTTAGAGCGGAGGATGGGGATGTGATCCAAGACGGAGGCCAAGGAAACACCGTTTTCTTGAATGCAGCATTGCAGCATTGCCCAGTAAACAAAGCTCCCACCAATCCGGTCAAGAGAAGTTGGACCCGTGTTCAACAAACATGGACATCTCAATCTCAAGATACCAGGTAGCCGCAGGTGTAGCCGCAGGTAGCTAGGCGGTCTTGGCTCCCAATATCTCTTAAGATTCCTAAGTTTCTCTCTTTATTTTGATGGACTCCGAAACGCAGGCCGCAAGCTACTTGCTTGAGCTGTGGGTGACCCAAAGGAATACAATGTGGAAGGTTCATAGGCCCACAGGCTGTTCAATGATCTTCAATGTCTGTTGAAAACCTTTCATGACCAGAATTTCAACAGGTGTGCAGGTCACAGGTATGGCAAGTATGGCAGGTATGGCAATCACCTAGGCCGGCACGATCAGCAGGCGCACATCCTGCACGCGGGTGCACTCGCGGGTGCGTGGCATCGGTGCCTGGATGTACTTCCACGTGGCGCTCTCGTGGAGGAAAGGCGCAAGCTTCGCCAACCTTCCCAGCCTCGCCAACCTCACCAACCAACGAACGGAAGACCGGGATCGACGAACGGAAGACCGGTGGCTGCTGTTGTTCGGTGGGTTCGGGATAGCTACTTGGCTCTTGAATTAGAGGTTGCCAGAAGCAAAAAAAAGATCAAACTTATTTCTTGCATGGACCTGGAACTTTGAGAACTGGATCTGGCGGCCATGCGACAGTCACAAGCATGTCACATCAAAACTACCCTTTAGTGGCGCTCATTTTCACACTTCTATTGCCCGCCAAACAACCTCTAGAGTTTGGAGTACTTGAAGATCACTTGAGAGTAACAAGAAGCTACTAGGAACAAAGGGCATCGCTACTAGGAGCAAGAAGCTACTAGTAGCTCCTGGCCATACTTCTGGTAACAAGAAGCTACTAGTAACAAGGGGCTTTCTCATCCTTAGATGCTGGTCCCACCATGACGGAGCCCACGAAAACTGTCTTCCAAGATCGAAAAGCACGCTCCTACGTTGTCTAAGTGACAAGCTTCAATTGCGTTGCCCTTCGAACGATTCGTCCTCTCCGTCCATTCTTGCTTTTCCCCCTGGTCCTTCCTGAAATTGCTCGGAAAAAAGAAACTGATCCGACCTTCAGAAGCGTCAAGCCAATCGCCCGTCCAATTCCCTCTGAAGCCGGCAAGTCACTTGCGTGCACCGGTCATCCGCTTGCTTTGTGGGCCCCGTAGCGATCCACGTAGCGTCCACAGTGGAATAGCGAACCAAAAACCAAGGATCACAGTCTTTAGTTGAAGATGTGAGGATTTGGAGGATGTGAGTTTATCTGTTGAAGCTAAAATCTAACAAGGTCCAATCCCAGTCGATTCATCGGATGCAGAGTGCGCAGATCCGGTGGATGTGTCCGGTGGTCAACCATTCTCGTCAGTTCCGGTTGACCATTGAACATCAGTCCAAAACAGAACTCCAAGCGCATCCATTCAACCAATCCGTTCTATGGGGTTACTCCACTAGCTTCTTTCTTTAGAGAGCAATTGTGGGACCGGACAGGACCTCCCATTGATGGCTGGTCGTCACAACATCGCGTTTCGCGCCTGGCCAGCCGAGAGGTCCTATGAAGTCTGGAAAGGCGCAAGCCTGGCAGCAAGGCAAAAAGGAAAGAATGAAATCAAACAAGAACAAGGACAGAACAACGCAGGAAATGCGCATGTTTAGAAACAAAAAGAACATGAACATACGCTTCCACTGGCAGCAACTTAGATGCTTTTGAAGCGACAAACCAAGAAACATTCAATGAAGGTTGAGACGTCACATGAAGAACGCTACTAGGAACAAGAAGCTACTAGGGGCTCCTGGCATCGCTACTAGGAGCAAGAACGCACTTGTCATGAAGAACCCAAAAGAACGCCCTGACCCAGGTGGCCACAAGCACTTGGGCGACCCATGCAACAAGCATCCCCCTGTCCGTCCATGGCGTTTGTGGCCTTTGTTCAAGGAGGAGGACTCATTGCCTTCCGATGAACCGAAGAGCACCTCATGACACTCAGAAAGCACAAAGAAAGCTTTCTTCCTAGTCTAAAGGGATAGAAAAACAACAAAGAAAAACACACGCCGAGACAGCAGGTCGGTGGGTTTTCATGTATGTATTTCTAGTAGATGTGTCTCCAAATGAGACCCCGCCCAAGAGTATGTCTGGTCTTGGGTATTCAAACCCTCCTACCCTCAGATGGATCCACTGAGAACCTATCCCCACAAGATGGCACAGAAAATACTCCAAAGACCCCAACACCTTGATGCCTTTCTCGTTCAGCCAGCTCTCTTCCGACGTTGGGTCGTCCTACTCAGTCCACCTTGGTGTAAGGGGATTATGTGATGCACCTCTGACAACCAAAAGGAGGCGGCGCCGCATGGCAAATGGCCAGTGTAAACAAATGATTCTTGCGTCCAAATGCCTCGAGAAAGTCAAAGCAACATAGATTTATTGTAGCAGAAGTAGGTGTTTGAATTGATTCAGTCCATTCGCGTTTGCTTTTCTTTCCAAATATCAATGGTGTTTTGTGAGCGCGGATTCCTCTGGCCCAACGCTCGACACTCAGCCAAGCGACGCCAAACCTCAGTGAATCGTCGGGCTCTGGAGCTCAGAAACTGCCAATAGTAGCTTCTTGCTACTAGTTACTACGTAGTAGCGATGCCAGGAGCCCCTAGTAGCGTCCTTGCTCCTAGTAGCGATGCCAGTTGCTCCTAGTAGCTTCTTGCTACTAATAGCGACGGCCTCCAACCTAGTAGCTTGAATCCACCACGTAAGAATTACATCCAACGCGAAGAGATCTCGAACAGGACATACCGATCCTTTTGTCCAGAACGCCAAAAGAACCCAGTTTGCCGAGAGCTCCCATTTCCGGCCCCCTCTGGTTCAACTGACACTTAGGAGAACCCATAGTTGAAGAAGAAGAAGAAGAAGAAGAAGAAGCTACTCAGCTACTAGTAGCGATGCACTTGTTACTGGTAAAATGAACAAAATAGCCGGATTATTTTATCTCCTGACCTAAAGAAACACAAAACATGTACACCATACTGACAAGGAGTGTTCCTGAACCGTTTCAAAATAGTCATGATGATCCCCCAAGAGCAGGACGGTCTCACCACGTCATGTCTCCGAGGCGGGTTGGGCGCCCGAGCCAAGACGGTGGAATACAGGCCACCAGGTTTATGAAAAAGAAGCCTTCGTTGCGAGCACAGAATCCTTTTTTCCTATTCCGTAAGCTCATGTCCCTAATTAGTACCTACTAGCGATGGTCTCCAACCTAGTTGCTATGGCCTCCAACCTAATCGGATCAACCAAAAAGTACAAGGCTTCCATCTGACCAGTATTAACAAATATTCACAATGAGCCTCAATGAGCTGTTTAGAGGGCCTTTGCGTGGTGCTTCGTGGCATCACGAACCTTGGCTATGCCTTGCACCTTTACAGCCAGTGTTCAATCTATAGCATTCATTCGACATGAAAAAATAATAGGATATTAATATACAGTTAATATACAGTACTAGCATTAACCATATGCATCCCGTGCCAACTCACGTGACAGCGAGGGGCCTTTCACATAGCGGCAAAAGATCTTTTTGAGATCGCAAACTTCGACTTCCAACTTCTCATCCTCACGGCCGACAGGGGCATTGCTAGTAGGTTGGAGGCCATTCCTATTAGGTTGGCCATCGCTCGTGGGTCCGGGCTATCAGGGTGGGGTCAGGGTAGCTGTCGAACAATGGACGTTGGCCAACAGCGAATTCCTGCGAAAAACACATAATAATTAACTACTTCTTGGAATATCATGGCAGTTCACAACAAATGAGTCTGGCATGCCTTGTGACAACAAGGGCTCATCGCAAGTACACTCACCCGTACATTCCGGCTCCATGAATAGCAGGTGAATGTGAATGCGACCCGAAATAGACATCCATCAAAAGCATATGGTGGATTGATCGAAGTGAAACTGAAAGAGCAAAATAAATACAGTCCTTTCAGCAAACAACAAAAATAGTAATTCCACGGACAGCCGAGTCGTTTGTTACATATTTGGGTCTGTTGTGCCATAAAAGTTTCTTCTTCGTACGCCACGTATGCACAACGCTGTGGCAAGCAAACAAAAACACATTCGGTGAACATCCACCGAGTAGGAGGTGACTCTGGGACTGACTTTGAGATATTCTGGGTATAAAAAAAAGGATTGCTTACTACAAGCAGTTCCCGGCAAGCCGGCGGCGGAAGTTTCCCATAAAAACAATTTGACCTATAGGAGTGTCCCTGTGCACATGCCCTGCGGACCCCGTGTTTTCCTGGCCGCAACGATGGCGTCATGCAAGCAGCCCACAACGTGGCACCGTGCATGCGGGTCACACCACCGCACGTTGGAGTGAATGTAGTTACACAGGACTCCGAATTTGCACGTACAACTTGTCATCTACATTTCGTGGCAGGCACAGCACTTTGTGAACCTCGAAGTGCAGATTTCGTGGCAGGCGCAGCATTGGTGAACCTCGAAGTGCAGATTTCGTGGCAGGCGCAGTACTTTGTGAACTGGCCAGTTTGTGGTGCAAATGTCGTGCGGGAAAGAGCTTTTCGGAGCTGGACTCAGAAGTGGCCAGTTTGTAGTGCAAATGTAGGGCGGGAAAGAGGCTTTCGGGGCTGGACTCAGAAGTGGACTCAGAAGTGTTTGCTTTTAGTGTGTGACAGACGGTGTGGCGAAATTACGTCCGTGATGTCGCTGTGCCATGCGGATTTGCGCGGCCTTGGTGGAAAGTGCGTCTGCGTGGCACCGTGCCATTGGGCAGCGCGAAACATGCTGGCGTAAACGCCGCGTGTCGCTGGTGAGCAGGAAGATTGGTGGTATCATGTGGTATGTTTGCGTCTATTAGGCTTCTATAGTGTGTGGCAGACCGTGTGGTGAAATTACGTTCGTGATGTCGCAGTGCCATGCGGATTTGCACAGCCTTGGTGGGAAGTGCGTTTGCGTGGCGCCGTGCCACTGGGGAGCGCAAAACATGCTGGTGAAAACGCGGCGTGTCGCTGGTGAGTGGGATGATGGGTGGTATCATGTGATATGTTTGCTTCCATAGTGTGTGGCGGACGGTGTGGCGAAATTATGTTCGTGATGTCGCAGTGCCATGCGGATTTGCACGGCCTTGGTGGGAAGTGCGTTTGCGTTTCGCCGTGACACTGGGGAGCGCAAAGAATGCTGGTGTAAACGCGGCGTGTCGTTGGTGAGCGGGATGATTGGTAGTTACCGACAAACGGTTCATCCCTCAGTTTCGTTTTCGTTTGCAACCCTTTCGGTATAATGCTTACTCCTACTATGCTTTCGGGCCACCCTGTCGTCTAGTTTGTCAACAGGTCAGCTTGTACTTATGGTTGAAGATTCTGGCACAGTTCATACTTACAGTCTTTGGTTGCATTCATTGGTTTGACTCTGGTTGCGCATCTGCACTTTGAGGCGCACCACAAGTGGTGTGCCTGCCACGAAATCTGCACTGCGAGGTTCACCAAGTGCTGCGCCTGCCACGAAGAGGTTCACCAAGCGCTGTACCTGCCACGAAATCGAGGTTCACCACATGCGCCTGCCACGAAATCTGCAAACGAGCCACATGCCCAAAAGTCACGATTCGCACCTGTCACGAAATCTGGGCCCCTCGACGATCACCACCATGTCCAAAGTGCTGCG